TGCTGACCTGGGACTGTATTACAGAAACATCCTAATTTACAATTTTAACAATGGTACTTTCAATTTAGAAATAGATTTTTTATTTTTTTTTTAATCTTAAAGGGACAGTTCACCCAAAAATGAAAATTATGTCATCAAACAGTTAACGGTAGCCATTGACTTCTATAGTATGATAAAAAATAAATAAAAAAGACTATGGAAGTCTATGGCTACCATAATCTGTTTGGTGATCAACATTCTTCAAAATATCTTCTTTTGTGTTAAACAGAACACAAGAGTAAACGATGACAGAATTTTAATTTTTTGGGTGAACTATATCTTTAAGTAAAAAATTAAGCTTAGAAGTTTCAGTAGTATAGTCTCTGAGGAGTTAACCATAGGAACAGTATCAGACAAAATACAAAAATAAAATGAAAAAAGAGTTTGTGCAAGATGCAATACAGAAAGCTCCCCCCACTGATAGTCACTGTAAAATTCACACATTGTGTAACACTGTTTGTACCTTCAGGGGGACATTTCCATTTGTCCAGCCTCAGAATTGCCTGAGCAGGGATGAGAAAGGCAAAAGCACTCGCCTGGAACAAAGGCAACCTAAATATGGCATAGAAAAAAAAATTATATTGTGACTACTAATCACATATTTCCATACTAAAGTCCACATTGAATAACTCACCTGACACCAAATGTAGTCTGTATGAGTGTAGTGATCCCCACACAGGTGAAGATGGTGCCCACTAACTGGCTGACAGTGTACTGGTCCTGCCCCACACACATGGCTTCAGCCAATAGGAATGGTACAGCAATAGTTCCACTGAAGCATGTTAGGTAGTGCTGGAGATCCAGAGGCAGGACATACAGATATAGGAAGGGTTAGAAGGGATGGGAACGTTAGGTGAGTCAGACTATGGGAGAGTATGAGAATGTAAGTGTACCTGCAGTCCCTGCAGCACACACAGATACCAAGGCGGGACGTCCTCGATCCTGTAGATCATATCAAATCCTGCAGGCTGATTCTGACTCCCATCAGACGTCTTAGCCATGTCAGCAGGCATCTCTTGTACCTCTGTACCATCTGCTGGCACAACTCTATCAGAAGGTGGGAGCTAATGGGCAATATTATAAAGATAGAGTATAATGGAGAATAAACACATACACGCACACACACACACACACACACACACACACGATACATGCATGACAATATTATTTGTGTGCACATCTGTTCATGAAGTCCAATAAAACATGTATTGTAATACAAAATAGAAATAAAAATAAATTCAAGTTAAATAGAAACTTTAAACACACACACACACACACACAAACAGCACAAAATGAAAACTGAAATTATGAAAATAAAAGCTACTTTAAAATATTAATAAATACTACACTATATAGAAATACATGTAAATATCTATCTATATATCTATCTATATATATATATATATATATAGTCCTAAAAGTCCTAAGTTAGGCTGTGACTCAGGAAAAGAACAGGGTCGACTTGACATAGTTTGGCACGGGCCCGTTTTTTTTTTACAGGGTCGACATTTCCTTGATACGAGTGACAAGTTAAGTGCACAATAAAGTGTTAAACCCATTTCAAAAGAGATAACATGGATAAAAACATGAACATCACGATTCATCATTAAGCAGCCAGACTGTATAAGGTTATCATGCCATTACAAACAACATTATGCAGATGCTATTCCAAACAAATATAGCACACACTGTATCAATGCTTACTGACAACAAAGCTTGAGAATGAGCATTAAAGATAACCAAAGGGATTTGTGTGTGTGTGTGTATTCCATTAATAAAAAATTTAAAAAATAAATAAATAAATAAAATCATTTAAAAAGCAGTTAATACCAAAACCTTTACATTTACATAAAACATTTTTTATTAAAATAATTTATCTTGGATAATTTAGGATAATTTATCTTGGCCATGAATTTGATTTCTTCCATCACACCACATATTTCCATCAAAATAATCATTTCAGTTTTCAGAGAAACCAAGTTCAAAAGTTGGCAAGTTACTCTCTCATTTAGCATTAATAATTGACTTAATATTTAACTACAGATAATGTATCTAACTGCAAAAGACAGCAAAAGTTAACTTCAAAGGTGGTTGAAGAAAATAATGTTGGGGGGAAAAAAATTGTAGAGAACACAAAATTGATGGAAACAGTAAAAAGAAAGAAAGAAAGAAAAAAACCATAAGATCTTCAGGAATGTGACTTGTAAAATCAAATCAATGGACCAGAACTGTCTGTCTCCTACATTCTTATGTCTCATTGTTATATGTTCTATCACATATAACGCCCCAAAAGTATCAAAGCTTTTCTTAATTAAGCTTCTTTTCTTTTTTTTTAAATCCAAGTGCAGTGTATCCCAATTTAGTGTTTTGAGTAAATGTAAACAAATATATAACAATGCATAATAAATAATGAGTATCATTCACTGGCTCATATTGCCAAAAAGCAAAATTATAATTAAAATATAACAAGCATGTATTTTTTTAATGACTGTAAAGAAAAATATATTTACCTACTACTCACTTCTTGGTGTATTTTGTGCACTGAGCTAACAGTTATTCTAAATAGTAATCTGGCACAATACTTTGCACCTCATATTTGAACATTTGTGCATGACAAAGGCCTAAATGTTTTGCTTTGCATGACCAGAATTCAGATTTAAATTTGTAAACACTCAAGAAAAGAATATCAAGACATTTACCTCCGTGTAAAGATAGTGACACAGAAAAATTTAGTAATAATGAAAACCGCTGAGATTTCCTTGAGATGTCATTACAAATCTTCAGTGTTCCAATGTATATTTAACCAACAAATGCTTGCTGTCCTTACTTTCTTTGAGATAAACATCTGCATTGTTTTCATTCACAACAATGACTCTACACTTTATAGATATTTTACCTGATTCATTGGCCCTTGAAGGATGTGCGGGGCTCTGTGCTGCTGCCTCCCAGAGGCCATGTGAGACCTGGGACCCGGCTGGACGCAGAGCGCTGGTTTTATGGGAGAGCGAGAGACAGAAGGGGACCAGATTAAACAGGTTAATAATCTGCCCTTGGTTCTGGACTTTACTCCCCCTGCCTGAGCTCATCAAAAGGCAGACAGTGTGAACACAACAGGAGCTGTGCTCATGAAGCAATGGGACGTCTCTTTTGGATGTGTACAACAGGGCCCTTAAAAAACAGAACATGTGGGGTTATTCTTCAGGGCAAAGACTTTTAAATGGTTATCTAAAAACCTTAAAGGCTATTCATCTTCTTAAGAAGTGTGTGGTCTATTGCGAAAAAAATGGGAACTGCAATATTATTGCTGTTAAAGAGCATCAAAACTAGGCAAGATAACCCCTCCTGCAGTCCCTGCAAACTTTCCACTGTACTCTTGGACGCACCCACATTGCAGTAATGAACACGTGATTTAACACCTAGATGTGACAGATATGTGGAGTTGCTCGGTTCACGTCTGCGGCCAGTAGAGGGAGCTACAGACCAACTACTGAATTAAAGACTCTTCGTCTGCGTGGACCTCCGGATCAGCGCAGAGCGCTGGTTTTATGGGAGAGCGAGAGACAGAAGGGGACCAGATTAAACAGGTTAATAATCTGCCCTTGGTTCTGGACTTTACTCCCCCTGCCTGAGCTCATCAAAAGGCAGACAGTGTGAACACAACAGGAGCTGTGCTTATGAAGCAATGGGACGTCTCTTTTGGATGTGTACAACAGGGCCCTTAAAAAACAGAACATGTGGGGTTATTCTTCAGGGCAAAGACTTTTAAATGGTTATCTAAAAACCTTAAAGGCTATTCATCTTCTTAAGAAGTGTGTGGTCTATTGCGAAAAAAATGGGAACTGCAATATTATTGCTGTTAAAGAGCATCAAAACTAGGCAAGATAACCCCTCCTGCAGTCCCTGCAAACTTTCCACTGTACTCTTGGACGCACCCACATTGCAGTAATGAACACGTGATTTAACACCTAGATGTGACAGATATGTGGAGTTGCTCGGTTCACGTCTGCGGCCAGTAGAGGGAGCTACAGACCAACTACTGAATTAAAGACTCTTCGTCTGCGTGGACCTCCGGATCAGAGTGTTATGTTTGATCTTCCTCTAATATTTTGCCAATAAACCCAGACAGGGTGATCAGGATCTTTGCAATAACTATCAAGTGTACATTATCCCAATTATAACACAGATACTTGCCTAATAAATCTACAAATGGACATTAAACAAAGAACTCCAAAGAACTATGTAATAATAAATTACAGTATTGAGTCAAAACCAAAAAAATTATTGGGCGGCAATTAGTGTGATTATTAGAAATAATTATAAGTACCACAGTTACAATCAAGCTACAATGTGTTTTGTGTAAAATATCAAATATTAAATACACATTGCCGTCTTTCAGAGCCTTCACAAAATGACTGGTTTGATTTCAGTCGAACTAAAAAGTTTACATGACATTTTAAAAAACTAGAGGCGATTAAAATGAAGTTGAAAGAAAGTAAACTGTAAATAGGCTATTAGATGTAAAAACCCTAAACTTAAACGAAAATGAAAAATATTTCCTTGGCAACTTATTTAAATAATTTTGAAGTTGAAGTTGTAAAATTACTAAACCTGAAAAAAGACTTAAAGCTATATATACACAAAAGATATATAAAATGACAAAAATACATAAAATTACTAAACAAATATGAAAATCTAAAAATAAAAGCTAATTTAAAGTATTAATAAACATTACAATTGCATATAAATAATACTAAAATAGCACTGATAAAAAGACAAACTTTTGCTTTAGTTTGACTGAAAATGAACTTTTAAAGTGCATATAAACGTACTTAATATATGTACATATTTTAGAGTAAAATGCTGCACCTGACCGATTAGAATGAAGTAGTCAATAGCGCCATGTAAACATTATTTAATCCAAAACTTCACATTTAGAAAGATTCTCTATTCCTTTATTTATGCAATTCATCCTGTTCTGAGGAAGTAGGATATCAAGCAGACACACATCTGCATCACGAATGAATGAGACGCAGGCCGGCAAACAGGAACGACACAGGAACGGCTGTCTGGAGAAGATCTAAGCAGAAGTCTGGGGTAATTCTCTTTTCAAGGTTGTAGCCTGAAAGACAAGTTTCCACAGGCTTATGTGGCAAATTTCTCTCAGAGTCCAGCATAGGATCAGAAGAACACAAGAAAGGAGACAGAGACGAGACGAGACGAGGGGGGAAAGAGGATGTCCAGAGGGACTGACAGGAAACCAGTGACGTAGAGGCACAAACACAGCAATGAAGTACCACATCATTCAGATCATATCTAAATTACTGTCTGCGGACTCTATGGCACACACGCACACAGATTTGTCTTTCAACAGCCACCTTTATTACCATGTTAACACCTGCTTACATAAAAAATGTTTTGCATTATTACAAAACCATAGAAAAAAGAACAGTTGAAGAAAACAATCAATAACTTAAAAAGTCTTACAGAATACTCAGGTGTCAGAGGTCACACGAGTCAGTATTAGACAGACGGTCAACAGTACATTCATTTTTAACTATTAACCTAAATAAACTTCCTGTGTTCAGCTGACAGATGACTCCTGTTGGCTCGTCTGTCACAAGTATTCTTGAATACATGCAGAAGCATGTTCAAGCCAAGGGCACGGTGTACAAAGGTGATGAAGAAGGTATTTTTTGTGTGTGTGGGTGTGGATGGGTGTGAGCGTGTTTTACTGGGCTCTCCTGGACATCAGCATCTCTCTTATGTTGTCCTCCGCATCTTTAACGCTGTGCTCCAGGTAAGTCTTCTTTTGCTGTGGAAAAACAAAGGGAAAAGACAAAAACAAGTTGGTTATAACTTCAAGTTCACATCAGAAGGCTTTTTCTTTCTGAACACACCCTTTTACTCCCCAAACTGCGTGACAGAGCTGTTAAAATTCTTTGTGATAAGATAAGAAGATGAACTTTTTTTTGGATCGTATTCAAAGACGGTCTTAACGTGAATTAAACTTTGATTGCTCAGGTTGAATAAGGTTAAAGGTTTCTGATTGTGTCTAAATACGAAAAACCTTTACTTTTTTAGTCAGAAAATTTCAGGAAGACGGTTACATCAAAGGTGCTGCATGCGAGAGAAAGTGTAAATGGAACATTACGCAACGCGTGCCAGGATGTGTAATCAGGCTGACACCTGGTTAGCGGCGAGACACTGTACAGTTACAGGCCTCTACCTGAAGTCTTCCGACAATGTGTTGCAAAAGAACTGAGTCAAATGCAAAGCGTGCGCACGCACTCACACAGTCAGAAAACCTTTGCCCCAGGCGATGTGGCACCATCTCATTAGAAATAAGCAACTTCTGACATTTATCAACACAAACATTATGCGACACATATCACATTACGAAGCCATTTATTATTCTTGAACTTTACATGAACCAGCGCAAAGGTTTTTTTTACCTTACGTCACAATTTGAAGGTCTTTGAGACATCACAAAAGCACCAAAAGTGTGCTGGATTGTCATTCTGTGTGGTTGTAGGTCGAATCTCTGTAATGATTAAAGTATAGGCATGTGTTTACATCTGTAACCAAGCATTACTGCACATTAGCTCACTGCTGTCTGGGAACCCCACCCTTCCTCCGTCCCCCCTCAGTCACACACCACTAGCTTAATGTAGCTCGATTCTGTCATCAACTACTCATCCTCATGTCGTTCCAAACCTGTAAGACTTTTGTTTATCTTTGAAACAGAATTAAATATATTTCTAATGAGATGACTTGAGAGATTTCTGTCCTGTCATTGAAGTTAATTCCATCAACACATGGAATTTGAATTTGACAATTCAAAAGGTTCATAAAGAGATTGTAAAAGTTGGCAAAGCAAGGACCGATGTTTGGTGAATTTTCCAAATCCGGTCATTTCAACACAAATCCACATGATCTGGAATTTTGTGTGAGAACGAAAGCTCTCTCCACACAGATTTCGCAACTGGTTCAAGGTGATTACGTGGATTCGCTCAGTTAACCAACGGAAAGCTGCTTGGCTTGAAAGTGACTTCTGTATTTTGCCTGTGAAATTTTCACAATTCACCAAACAATGGTAAATGTGACCACACCGTAACACGTAATCTAACTTTTGTAGTTTAGTACTTTCATAGAACTTGCAAATCAAATTCTTTTCACACCTGTAGGCTATTAATATTTTTTTTAAAGTTACTTGTGTAGGTATGGTTATGGCCCATTTTTAGTATTAAGGTATGGTTACATTTGCTGTTGTTTGGCTAATTTTAATGGGTGAAATCCAGTCATTTCAATAGAAATCCATGCAATCGCAAATTGCGTGTGAGAGAAAATGATTTTGCAATATGGATTCACACTGACCAACAGAAAGTTGCTTGATTTGAAAGTGACTTCAGTGTGAGGTGCTTCATAAAGCGGCAAACTATTGATAATAGACGGACTGTTTTGGCCCATGAAATAAAGCGATTGTGTCTTAAATTTGTCGATTGAACATTCTCCTTATTAACTTTTTGAAGTGGTTTTGATGGACTTTGAACGGACTTTAAATGGAGGGACAGAAATCTGTAAGTTTCATTAAAAATGTCTTCATTTATGTTTCAAAGATGAATTACAGATTTGGAACAACATGAGGGTGAGTACACTTGCTGGGTAAATAACCACTCTTAACCCAAAATAAACATTCTTAACCCAAATGCTGGGTTCAGCCTACTAGGTCATTTTATTGGGTTGTTTTTTAATATTTTTACCCAGGTGTTGGGTAGTTTTTCTGCACTCTAAAAAATGCTGGGTTATTTTTATTTCTTTTTTACCCAGAATCCAGCCTGTTGGGTCATTTTATTGGGCTATTTGAGCTGGAACAGCTTACTGATAACAGTTTTCTTCCCACAGATTCCCATTGGCTGCTCTTGCTGCTCCTGTCACGCCCTAAAAAGTTTACTGAATGTTTTTGATTATTTTATGATTGTAAAAGACTGACTTGCCATTGAATAAAAAAATATTGCATATGAACTGTTCTTGTCCTATATATATATATATTTATACAGATTTGTGCATTTTTATTATTTAAAATGAAAAACCTTTAATAGGTTGACTGATCCAGCACTATGTCAAAAACAACCCAGCAAATGGGTCAATGTATAAAACCCAATAAGCTGGGTCAAAATAACCCAGCATGTGTTCTGTAAAATATTTACCCAGTGCTGGGTTGCCAAATAACCCAGAAAGGGTCGTTTTTAACCCAGCATTTTTAGAGTGTAACTGACATAATTTTTATTTTTGGTTGAACTATCCCTTTAAACTTTTGGTGACTTAACACAAAAAAAGAGCAAAGTGCTTGTTGTCCACTGGGTTTTGAGTGCATTGTCTTGTTTTCCTAGTAACAGGCATGTGTTGATTATTGCATGAAAAGAGAGGTATTTGGTTGCGCTTTTATTCATGCAAACATATTTTCCATTCAAACTACGCCAAATGTGTCACAAATAATCAAAACAAGGATGCAGAATAAGACGAATATCTGAACTCTGTCCTATAAAAAGCAAGAGTCAATTGTTCATTGAAGAGAAGGTTTATTTTTGGAATCTTGTCTGGCCTGTTTACGTACAAAGCTGCTTGTGTATTTTGGGGTTTTTGTATGTGCGTTTGTAGATACAGATGATACAGGTTACAACCATGCTTGCTTGTTTTTAATAAGAGGGCGAGGTTTGATGGGTTTTTCACATCATGACATCTGTTTTGTGATAAGTCTGCATGCCATGAGGAGGAAAATATTCTCTGAGCAAGCATGATAAGAGATACGACAACAATTGATATCAGCTTGCCCATACCTCCCCATTATGGAGAGCTACAGAAAAAAACACTTATTTATAGGTCACAGCGCTTGGAAAGGTCATGAAAATATTTAAGAGGGCAGCAAATGATAGGATGGAAAACAATGGCCAACAGGGGTGCACAGAATTTTGCCCCCTCCATCAGTCTGACAGAGTTGGACGAGTGCCGTCAAGCAGACACTGTTGACTTGTTTGGCTGCCTTTAAATATATTTTTCTTTTCACCCATGAGAAAGGAATGTCAGCACCATGAGAACACCCAGAATGCACATACCAAAAAAATAAAAAAGTTCTATCAAAATTAAAAACTTTAGACAAAACTTTTTTGTCAAAACAGTAATGTGTACATTTTATTACAGTTGTGAGCTTGCAGGCTGAATTAAATGTGATGAGATAAAAAAATGTTATGGCAAGGAACCATCTTTTTATGGAGTTGTCTTCACAGGTTACACATGAGAGACAAAGCATGGCCTGTGCGGTCCGATTCCTGAGCAAATGACTATGAGCCGGTTCTTTTAATAAGTCATTCAAAAAGTCTACTGAGTTGAATCATTCTGATGGATCCTTCAGGGATTGAACTCACTGTTCAGAGTCTACTGCACTGAAGAAGATTATTCCAGTGGTTTATTTACTGGTTTATCTGGTTTGCGTATTGGGTGGGGCAGGTATTCTATAAAAAGAACACTGGAGTGCGAGCTGAAAAACTAAAGGGGAATCCTCTTCCCTATATGCTCTGTGAATCATATGCAAAAGAAATTAAGCTTCAGATACACATGGAAAATTCGGTGGAAGACTGTTGTATTGACTACTATATCTGTTTTAAGCAAGATGAAACTAGCCGTTAAGTGCAGGAACAGAAACGAACCTAACTAGGCGCTGTTTGCCTCCTACACAGCTCTACTGAGGCGAGTGTAAAACAATCAATCTTTTGACTCCATGAATGTCCTGCTTGGTATATATGTATGTGTGTGTCTTTCTCACTTTTGGACATCTCCAATGAGCTCTCCTTTATGAAAAAGCACCATTTAAATCCAGCTCTCTTTGATAAATCTGTCATAGAAAAAACACACTAAAAATATATACTGTACAAATTTGTTTTTTAGTTACCAGTAAGTTGCCTTTTAATATATATTTGTAACTTACTGGTAACAAAATTGTAAATGGTTTTACATTGCATTTTCTAAAAATTTTACTGTAAAATACCATTAAATTTTTTTATTATTTATTTATTTATTTTTTGCAAGTAAAAACTATAGATTACTTTATAACTTTACTGAAAAACAGTAAAAGGATATTACCAAAAGGCCCTGTGTGAAAGATTACATGTTTGTTTTTTTTTTTACATTGTTTTATCTTATTTCTGAATAAAAATGTACATTAGGGCGTTCTGTCTAAAATTTCTTTATTTTTAATTCTTTACTTCTGATTTGTTATTTAGTTTATGTTTATTGCATTATTTTAGTTTCATGTGCATTGCCCAGGTGATATTTTGTCTTTGTGTGTATATCGCTGTGTATGTTTATACATGAGTACTGATCATGTGATACGGACAGGCAACTACATGTTTGCCATCTGCATTATTATGGTGGTTATCAGTACATTTTAAGGCATAAAGCAGATTTTAGTTTAAAAGCATGCACATCTGCTAGTTTTTTTTAAACCATACATTTAACAGGATCATTTTTACACTTCAATTTTACAGCGCACACAGGGAAAACTTGATTTTTTAATTCAGTTGTGGCACTTAAAATAATCTCAACATTAACAATGGAATATCAAAGGTCATCAGAAATGTAAAACCCTAAATAATGTAAAAAAAAAAAAAAAGTAAAACCCTAAATAGTCACTCAAAAGAACAAAAGCATATAAGATCAATCAATTGCACCGAATTCAGGACTAAACCGGTTATCATCAAAGATATAAACCCAGCAGTGAATGGGGGATTCGGCTTTGCCCAAACACGTTGTGTTATG